TAAATAAAATTTTAAATAAAAATGGGGGCATATTGATTCATTGTGATGAACAATAACTGTTTCCTTAAGGAATGTTAATATAATAAAATATATTTATATAGTGAAAGATCTAGTTGTAATCAAGGATAAAATACATAAAATAAGTTGGATATAAAAGTATTTACAAAATTTAGAAGTGCGTTTGAAACAAGATTGGATGAACCAAACTATAGTAAGTTAACCAACTAAACTGAGCTGTGCCAATTGGAGTGAATTTAGCTTTCAAAAACAGTTTTCTTTGAATACAATTATTACAAGTGTTCAAAGTATTTCTAGATATTGCCTAGAAACTCTTAATAACCCCATTGTCCAAAATAACCAATATAGTGCATTTCCCCTTTTCATTTTATTTTGATTTTCCCTTTGTGTTTTTGTTTTTTGTCATAGGGGCATTTTAAAAAAAATCACACATGGGATTAGATTGATATTTTATCATTCTAAAATATTACAAGTCAATCTTGAAGACCTTCCATTGACCAAAGTAGCTTGAAAGACTGAGGTTGTTGTATAGTGTTGGTTGTAAAATTCTTTTGCTGCAGTTGGTAATCTATTACCGTGTTTCCCCAAAAATAAGACCCTGTCTTATATTTTTTTGAACCCTGAAATAAGCCCTTATTGCCATGCGCTCAAAAGCCTGATTGGGCTTATTTTCAGGGGATGTCTTATTTTGGGGGAAAAAGGGTATAATACTTGTCCTTAGAAAACAAAGAGAAGGACAGAAGATTGATAGTAAGAAAATCTGATGACTTGCCAGAGACTCATACATAAGGAAATAACATATAGAGCATAATTTCTTGGCTTCCCTAGTGTTCTTTGATTTCCTGTGTGTTGAACTCAACCTTTGTACCCTTAAATAAGGCTTATCAGCCAGCAGTTAAAATAATAAATCTGAATTGGACAAAAAATCTCCAAGGCTTTTGAAATCAGATAAATTGTATAGAAAAATCAGACAAGTGAGTCCTCATGGGACAAAGTTTATTAATTAAAGGTAACCAGTGGAACAGAAATAGCCTGACAACAAATAACGATTAAAAAAAAAAGTCTCCAATTCACTTGACTGTTATCTTATACTGGTATATGAATTTTTCTAGAAAATGAACCAAGTACAGTGATGAATAAATATAATGATTTTCCCTGAGAAATGAACAAGTGGATTTTCTCATTCTTCTGAGTAAGGGAAAGGGTGTTACAGACATTTTTAATATCAATAGCTCTAGATTACCAGTTGGTTTTTTTAACCAGTTCAGATAAAATTGACATACCAATGTGTGTCCAAACTTCTATGCTGATATATTTCATATGTTTCTTACATGTTTAACTGCTGCTTTATAAAGTACTATTCATAAGCAGTTGTATTTCTAATAAATTGTTTTTGTATACATATTTGTCTTGCTCTTCCCTTTCAGGTTTATAAATACTATGCAGAGAGAAAGTAAGAAATAGTAAGCAAATATATATATATATATATATATATATATTAAAGGCAGGAGATAAAAGAAAATGAAATTCTACTAAATCTGGTTTCTATACATTTCCATGTGCTTCTATCCCCGGAAGCCACACTTTCTAACAACATAGACACAGTAATATATTCTCTTTTTTCCTTTAAACTTCTCACCTCTATCTTCTTGGGGATCTCATTTATTTAATCAAACCTCAGCTTTTCCAATCTATCCTTTAATCTTGATTGTTTCACTCTTCCTTCATAAATTTGTTCGACAATTTGGTCCTCATTTATTCTCTCTGAAAGAGCACAATGCCATAATATACTTATTTTGTTCTAATCGTTTATTTTTGTATTCAGTATACTTCATTCTGCACTCATTTGTTCCTGACCCTGTTTGTTTGTGTTACCACATATACTTACTATCTGTGAGGATCTATAAGTCTTAAAATTTCTTAATCCACATCCCTAACTTTAGAAAACTTTGGTCAAATTATACAAATCAATTTATTTGCTCTATTTTTCACAATTTATGTATAGCTTAATGCCAGCCCTTTGAAGTAGGCACGGTCAAGAAACGAACACTCCAAGAATACTAGGAAAGACAGTTTATTGTTGTAAGGTAACAGAATCTTACAAGGCTGGCCACTTTCTATTCCATCATATGGTAAACAAAATCAAGGTGGGGTTATTTTGAGTGACTTTCTCAGATATACGTACTTTGCTGCTTTCCTTAGTGGCTCATTCCTTCCTTCCTCAAGGACAACTATAAACTCTTATAATACCTCTGCAGTTAAAATTAATCTCAATGGCTATAGACTTCCTCCTGTTTCTCTCACTTGCAAATGGGCCTGGCATCTTAATAAAGTCAATGTATAAATCTGGCAGAGTAGACTCAGATGGAGCTAGAAAGTTCCTCCCTTTCTCCCGCCCTCCCCCAACACCAGAGAGCCTAGCCTCTTTTTTAAAGTGTCTCCATTCTAGAGCTCATTGTTTGTTGATAGTAACTGCAATTAACAGAGGCAAGTATTGTGCAAGAATTTCATAAGGAAGTGGAATACCATATGTGGAGTATGGACATCTATTGCCGTTTCGCTCTTTTTCTCTGATTTGAGAAATCAGAGAATTCCAGTGAATGACATACTCATAAATTTTGCTCTATGTTTAGAATCCAGAATACATTCCATTTCATCTTTCTCCAGGAACAGACAAAACATAGTGGAAAGCCACACCAAATCTCCCACAGAGGTCTTCTTGCTTTTGTGCATCTGTGGCATGCTTATTTGCAACTTTGACCAAATCTAATTGTTCCTTTAAAGGAACTGACAGGGATGAGGAAAGGAAGTGGAGTTCTGGAAGCAAGATGTCTGGTAGCTATAAATTCCATGGAGGAATGTATCATAGCTGTTATAGGCAAATTCTGGAAGAGGCAACAATTCAGACCAATTGGCCTGCTGATAAAGGACATGGCACCTCAGATATTGTTCTAGTAGTTGAGTGGAGTTTGCTCTCAATTTATATTCTTGTGGCTTGCCCTGTCAGTGTTGGTGGAAGTGGTCTTGGAGGTTCTTTGGTTGGGCTGTTTACTGTTAGCTTGTTTGGCAGTTCCTTGATTGGGATATTGTTTATTTCTTGATTGTTAGTCTGATGTTAATCTTGGTGTTCATCTATGCTTAAATGGGTGTTGATTACTGGTGGAGAAGTGTTTCTTTTTTTGTTTCTTGATTATCTCTTTTGCACAGTATGTAGATGTTGTTTATTCCTATGTGTCTATTGATAGCCAATTTGTCACAGTGCCAGAATTCTCCAGTGTTTTTGGATGTGGCTAGGATGGTCATGGTTTCCCAGTTGAAACTGTGGTTAAGTTCTTGTTTGGGGAATCAATCTAAGACATTTCTGGCATGAGTGTCATGTAAAGATAGGCTTTCTGAAACAAAATCAGGATATAATCAAGTACATCACTTCATCCAAGTTATAAGCAAAAATTTCCTTCATAAACCTGCAGAAGATTGCAGGACAATTAGTCTAAACAGCATTTTGTATATTAAAATTTGCCATGCTTGGTATTAAAACTTGTTAAATACTTGTGGCCCTCTTTCATTCGTTTATTTAATGTATGTGCTTCTTAAGTCTAACTAAGTGAAAATGGAGGCACTCAAGCAGATCTAAAATAAGAAGGAGTGGTATTGGTATATTTCTGAAAAGCAGTGAATGCTTCAAATAAAAATCTAATAGGGCAATTCACCCTCATTAATGAAATATGTTTGTAACTTTCCTCTTCTTTCCCACTGCTTTTTTGATATTTTTTTCCTGCTGTGTAGGGGCACGCAATATTAAATTAAGGATTGGTTGTATAAATACATATATATTATAATATGCATGTTACTATTTAAATTCTGAATACTAATTTCATACAAAACTATGCTATACTTAATGCAACATGGAGGGTTTTTTCTTTGTCATAGAAGAATATGAAAATTCACATTCACAGAGACCCAGACATACACATCAGATGTAAAAACTATAATGAAGTTTTCAAATGCTATTTGTGGTTTTGGAGGAACTGGCATTGAAAAAACAATAGTTTTTTTCTATCTTTATCTGGACTAGACATTAAATTAGAAGGCTGGGTCGTGCAAGAACAAAAAGATGCTTTTATATAAACACCTAATCTATACATATTTTTAAATTATTAACTATGTTTCATGGGCTGTATATGCAATTTTAAAACAAAATGAGTGTTCCTGATAAATAAATATAATGATATATTCACACACATACACACACACACACAGATGTTAATGATGAACAAAATATACATTAGGTGGTGAACAAAGCCTATTTAAGAAAGTTATTTTTTATGCTCATTATATAGTGGAGGTATAGAGCTTTTCCGTTTTGCAGCTTTGTAACAACAATTCTATGCTTTCTATATGTTGTTCTAATACTCGCCTTTGTACCTTAGAATTGTTTATGTTGTCATCTGTTTCTATTTGCTCTGCACCCCTTCCAGCTGGCAGGGTTTATTTGATAACCCTTTGAGACTCTGTTGCCTGGGTTTGATTGGTGATGACTGTCCATTCTGTGATGAGGTTCCTCTGAAGAAAGGCAAGCTATAGTTGCCTGCCTTTGATTGGCTGCTCCTCTGTTTCCCTCCCCTTCCAGGGCACACACCACCGCAGGGTTTGTTCGGAGACCTAAAACAGCCTCGTAGGCATCCATTCATGAATCTGTGACGTTAGTAGCTTCTATGTTTGCAGTGGGGTTGCAGGATTGTGTGGGTGGAATTTCCTTTCTGTCTTTTATTGAGCAGGTTTGTCTTTTGCCAACTCTCCATAAAATGAGGAGATGGAGCATAGTTGTATAATGTTCCTGTCATTGTAAGTATATTGGTAAAAATTTGTCTTGCTTCAAGGTCTGTGTGTGCAGAAGGACCAATATTATGTTTTAATCGTTCATTTCAAAAGATGGGATAGATTTGTCTGCCGGTACAATAGAAAAAATGTTGGAAGACATATTAAAGCTGAGAATATTTTTGTATTGGGCAGCAGCCTGTATTTTACTTCTCTGTGGAGCTATTATAGACATATTGAATTTGCAATTTGGCACATTATGCAGAGATCTTTATCCATTTCTAAAACAGAACAGAATGAATTTTAATAATTAGTTGACATGCAGAGTATCACAAGAATATCAAGAGAAATAACTGCAATTGATTTCATAACAGCAGGCGACCTCCCCCCCCCCTTTCCTTTGTGAAAATGTAATCTGATTGTCTGGTGAAATGGCTTCAGAATCCTTTTAATACAGTTTAAAATCTAACATTATTTACAGTTTTAACAGTATGTTTTGGATGGAGGGAAAAAGCATGCTACCCGTTTTATCTCTTAATTACACATTTATTTCTTAAGATTTCATTTTTATAAACAAACTGATTTTTAACTATTTTGGTTAATGGCTAGATTTGTTCATTCATATGCAAGCAGCTCTTTTTAACAGCAGATATTTTGCATTATACCATTAGCTTAAAAAAATGATTTCTAAATCTCAATATGTTGTAGATTCCCGCTGTTTTCATAGGCTCTAGCACTGTACTTCATATATAATTCCAATCTGTTTTTATTTATTGATGGTCAGTATGTGGTGCCCCTTCTGGGAATTGCTTGCAGTAGGAACTACTGAGGTCAGTAAAAATCCATTGTGAACAATCCCTGAAAAGAAGGGGCCGTCCATTGGCAGCCTTTGAAGAATATGCTCCAAAGTACTGTATAGATACTGTATAGAAATGTATAAATACTATATAGAAATGGAAGAAGCAGTGTCAGATGACTGCTTTAAAGGGAATAATTCTAGCTGCTCTTTGTCCTTAAGTATTTTCCTGCATTTATTGCTCTAATTGGAAATATTAGTAAGACTGTCTTTTCAATACTGTATCTAGAACAGAAGGCAACAATATAAAAACTGATTGTTTGCAGTTTTTGGAGAAATTAGCTTTTCTTCAAGCTGAGGCATGTTCTTCTGAGCACCTGCTATTATTACCGTTTCTTTCTTCCACTCCAGTTGGTTAATATGCACCTACTCAGCATACTCTGCTGTGAGGAACTAATGTGAAATGCTATCCCAAATGTTAGTTGTCATAAAATTAATTTAAATTTATGGTTTTGATGAAAAATATTTTAACGTTAAATGTTAATTTTAGGTTAAAACTTGCTTCTTCAGCTATAATAATAGTGCAGCTAATTATAAAGAGGATACTTTTGAAATTTGAATTAGTTTCGAAGCTTAAATCCTTTAAGTTGAATCAAACTAAGGTAATCAATCATTATTATTTACGGTATTTATTAAACTATTTATTACCTACCACAATCCAAGGACTCTCAATGGTTTCTATAATATTGACAATTAATTAAAATCCATGATACATTTGGAAGTCAAAATCATAAATCAGGAATCATCTTAGGAATCACAAAAACAAAATAGGCAAAGAATAAACATAAGAATATAAAATGGCAAAATGACTTCATCATGAAATCAGATAAAGTCTTTAACATTATTCTAAATTATGTAAGGGCAGACCCTTATCTTCCTGGGAAGATTATATGAAACATGCCCCATCATACTTAAATGGTACACTAGCCAGATGCCTCTTTTAAAATATTGGCAGTGATCATAAAAAAACTAAGTTAGCATAGTTTTAGTTCATTTTCTAACCTACTGATAATTGAATGGGTTGAAGTGTAATAGAAAGCCAAGCAAGTTAGTAAATAAATAAAATAATTGCTTATTAAAAAACCCTTAATTTTAATTCTTAAATCTGTAGGCAATCCAAAAGATGCATGTTCTAATTATAGTCTTTAGTACTTCACTGTATCACAAAGTTATTTCTTACACTGGTTACTTACACTGTGCTGCCTTGCTTCTGAGTTCCCATTTTATAGGATGCCCACATTGAAGGATGATAGCCAGATTCATAAGAGGCTACAGTCCCATCCTTGCTCCTTGGAGGAAGTTCAGCTTGCAATGTCTTCACCAGTTGTGCTCCCTGATTGTATGATTCTTGTAATCTGTTCCTTGGTTTTGTTACAGGTGCTGTGGCCACTTTCTGCACTAAGGATGAACATTCATTTATTCTAAAACAGTATATATGACTATTTGCTCCATACACATGCATACCCACAATACAATGACCAGTTCTCAGGAGCTCCTGAGTTGGTCTTCCTCTACAACGATTATTAATAAGGGTCTCAATGAAGATAAAAGTTTCAGTGGGATGCATGGGGAATGTATACCCTCTGGTGACCATCCTTCATCTGAAGTCATAGAAGAGGGAAGAGAAAGGGGGTTACCTCACAACAATGCATCAGACAATATAAATAGCCCAGTGCCCACAACAGTATTAACCAGTGTGAGTGAAGATTCCAGGGACCAATTTGAAAATAGTGTGCTCCAGTTAACTGAACAAGATGATTTAGAAACTACTGTTCATCAGAGCAATGATAACAATATAAGTGGACAGAACAACCATGGAACAGAAGACATCAAAATACAATTTAACAGAACAGGAAGCGGAAATGGTGGCTTTCTTGAAGGACTTTTTGGCTGTTTAAAGCCAGTATGGAATATTATAGGGAAAGCCTATTCTACTGACTACAAACTACAACAACAAGGTAAACTCTGCAAATAAAACTATCTTTTATTATTCCTCCACCCCTGCTCCTTCCAAAAGCTTCGTGGCAAAAGGATTGTGTTCTCTAGAGTTTTACTAATTTGCAGACACCTTAAAACTCAGAATTATGAAAAGAAGTATGTGTCATTTTATGTTTATATGTAATTTTATCATATACATTTTATGTTTAGAACGTTTCCAAGAATGGCAGATATTTTCACCTCTGATACATTTTGTTTTAATCTAGTTATTCAGTATTGGTTTGTCTTCTTTGGTCTCAGAGTGCTAATAATTGTTAAGAATCACTCCATTCTAATAATAGACTCCCCTAGCTTTTACATTTTTGTTATTGCTGAGATAAGTAATAATGTAATAATACATCATATCATATAAGCTTCTCTTAAATCAAAGCATCTTTTAATTTAGTTAAGATAAAATAAATAGATTAATGGATCATAAAGTATCTTTACTCTTTCTGTATTTATTTTAAAAAGCTTAATGCACAGTTGGAATAGTAATCATAGCTTTGAAATGAAAGGAAACTATTTCCTGGAGCCAGCTGCTTGAGGCCTTTATAATCCCCTCTCCCTCAGAATCAAAGGTAAATTAGAAATCAAGTTTTCACTGTAATTCACTGCCCATCCTCATTAAACAACTGGGTCTTCTATGCCTTTCTCCAAATAAAAGTCCATGTCACAAAAACTAAACTATAAATTGTACCCCATTGTTCTAACTAACCCCCCCCATAAAAATAAAAAATACATATTGAAGATTTAACTGGATTTTAGTCACAATTGACTTCTCTTTTACTAATTAGGATAGTCTTTTAATTCAAGCTTTGTGGTTTGGGGAAAGAAGAGACTCTCTTGATTTTTATCTAATGAACCTTGCTGCTGATGGATTAATTAATTAATTAATTAATTAATTCATTCATTCATTCATTTGCAGGGCTTAAAGACCAATTCAATTACACAATTAAGAGGGGCATAAAAACTCTCCAGATCTATTCTATGGAGTTAAAACAAACAAATATTCACATTTTAGAATTCAACTATACATTTATTGTTACGTAGGAAGTAAAATCTTTTGAAGATGTATATATTTTGCATGTTCTTAAAAAGCCTGCAAACTGCCAAGATGCTAGATGAGCTATTATTTTGTTGTTTGTCATTAGGCAGTTAGTTGCAATTATAATAACTGCTTGTTTATTATCAGATACATGGGAGGTTCCTTTTGAAGAGATATCTGAGCTGCAGTGGTTGGGCAGTGGAGCACAAGGAGCTGTTTTCTTAGGCAAATTTCGAACAGAGGAAGTGGCCATCAAGAAAGTGAGAGAGCAGAGTGAAACTGATATCAAACACCTGAGGAAACTGAAACATCCAAACATCATTGCTTTTAAGTAGGTTGTACATGGATTATTCTGACTCTAGGGTTACCTTTTCAAACTGATGCTGTAAATCTTCATAGCTGGATTAAAGCCATTCAGAGTACAATACTGAAGTTTCCTTTATCCTTTGAATTTTATTTCTTAATGGAAAAAAGTGTTATCTGGTAATACAATAGAATTACTACTTTTGTTGTAAGTGGATTTTTTGATGTAGTAAGAAAGTAGTTTGTAATAGCATATGCATGAGTTCTTTCAATTAAAAACAATAATTATTATTGGTGAAAAGAACAAGAATAATAAAATCTTTTAGAGAAATATTATAGTTGCTTCCCCACTGTATAAATAATAGTCACTAAAAGACTGTTAATCATGAATAGAAATGCAGAAAGCTTTTTGAAATGAAAATGTCCCAACCTTAAAACCTTGACATTCAAACTTTATCAGAAATGTTCTGATGTTGCTCAAACAATTCTTAGTTGTTCTGATCTTGATATAATCCATTTCAACTTTTGAAATATTTTGCACACTTCTAGCCAGGAACAATAATACCGTGTTTCCCCGAAAATAAGACCCTGTCTTATATTTTTTCAAACCCCAAAATAAGTGCTTGGCCTTATTTTCGGGGAGGTCTTATTATTTTCGGGGTGCATGGAGCAAGATGGGGCTCCTCTTGCCGTCTTACCTGATTTCCAGCTCTGCGTTTAAATATTTTCAGGGAGGGCTTATTTTCTGGGGGGTGGTTTATTTTAGCATATGCGGTCAAAAGCCCTATTGGGCTTATTATCAGGGGATGTCTTATTTTGGGGAAAACAGGGTAAATGTGTTTTGGGGAAATCTTTGGATCTTTCATTATAATGAATTTATATTTTTTCTTTCTATCTTCACTTCATCAAAATGTCATTGCTGTCAGTACAATTTGATGCACTTCAAGGATGTATGTAATCTTCTCTAGGGAAATCATGTATTGTTTACTGTTTAATTTTCTGCCTATACTAGGTCTTATTTGATCAAATGGCAAATAACTAAGCAATAGTGGTTTCTTAGGAAGTACTCTTGATTATTCTGTAAAAATGTGAATCAGAAACTTCTCTTTACTAGTTTCTTTCTTAATTCCCCATTGCTTTGATTTTGATTTTTTAAAACATCTATTGTTCTTTTTTGTCCTAGGGGTGTTTGCACACAGGCACCCTGCTACTGTATAATAATGGAATACTGTGCACATGGACAATTGTATGAAGTGTTGCGAGCAGGTAGAAAGGTAACACCTCGTTTGCTTGTAGACTGGTCTACTGGAATTGCTAGCGGAATGAATTATTTACATCTCCATAAAATTATCCACAGAGATCTCAAGTCACCCAAGTGAGTAGACAGAGTTTATATAATATGAGGAGATAAAAGAAATTGAAATTGAAATAAGGGTGGAATTACTATGAATCTCTCATGTGATTTCCTGTGTATTTTATTCTTTTCAGTGTATTAGTTACCCACAATGATACGATGAAAATTTCTGATTTTGGTACTTCTAAAGAACTCAGCGATAAGAGTACAAAAATGTCCTTTGCAGGAACAGTTGCTTGGATGGCCCCAGAAGTGATTCGTAATGAACCTGTTTCTGAAAAAGTAGATATATGGCAAGTAATACTATTCTAACTGCTCACCTATTTCAGTGTTTCTATTAAAAACTTTCTGTTTCCATGTTTTGTGGTCGCTGCAGATTTTATTTTTTATTAAATTTTCTTTTTGATAAATATTTTTCTGCACTGTGCTTTCTGCAAACTAATTCTGCTGTAAGAGATCTAACATTTGTCTTAACAATTTATTTTTATACCTGTAAATTTTAATATAATTCAAATTAATTCAAATTAATTTAAATTTGAGTCTGCTGTTATATGTTGTTCCAGTGTTGTAACTACTTTGCTGGTTTATGGAGCTTCTCAGTCATCCAGGTCATGGTTGTCCCAAGGTACTTTTGAAAAAGGCAAAAGGCAAAACAAAGAAAGTCTAATTTTGAAATTCTGAAAAAGAATATTTGCGTCTACTTTGTTGGTTATTGACCATAAATTAAATTTCAGTAATTTTCCTGATTTTAATATTGTTTCCCCCTATTTTTATTAGGTCATTTGGAGTCGTTTTGTGGGAACTTCTCACTGGAGAAATTCCATACAAAGATGTAGACTCTTCAGCCATCATCTGGGGTGTAGGTAGTAATAGTTTGCATCTTCCTGTACCCTCCACTTGTCCAGATGGATTCAAGATTCTTATGAAGCAAACATGGTAAAATCGTATATAATTGTTATTGGACTTCCTTGTATTGTACCTTAATATGGATAGAAATTGAAAATTGGAAGTAAAATGGATTATTAACCATATGATCTTATTTATTTTTATAAATTACAACAATAAGATCTTAAATCATTTGTTGGTTTGATAAAAAAGAAGTTTAAAGAATGAGTATTATATGAATGCATTATAAATTGCCATGTGTAATGAGATAGTAAATATAATTTATTTGAATTTATGGATTTCTTTGATTAATTTCTGTGATTTCTTTTGGATCTGTAGTCAACAATTAGATAAGTGTCATTGAATCAGACCCAATACCTGTACGTACAATTGGTTGCTATCTTAAGCTATCTCTAATCACAATTCATAGCTCTTTTAAAAATCTCCTTGATCTTTTCTATTCATCTTATCCATTGTCTATCCCTTCTGTTTTCTTCACTTTTGCGAAGTACAGTTTTTTTCCCTAGTCCATCATTTGTTCATTTGCATGCCTAATGTGAGTTTCTGCTTGAAGATCATTGTTTGAAGGAACTATTGTGGTCAGTTTTCATTTTATCCAAGACTGATTTATTTTTGCAGTCTGTGATAATTTCCCACCTCTGAAACCATTTTTCAATAAAATCTATTTTCTTCCTCTCTCCTGTGTGTCTTGTTTCCAAAACCACACATTACTGTTGGAAATATTACTTCAACTGACTTTTCCAATATACAACATGTTGTATTCTGTTGCTGTCCATTCAGTGATG